TTATTTATTTTTTATTATTAATTTTTAATACTTTTTGAGTTAGAAAATCGATTAAAATTCTAACTTAAGCAAGTATTAATTCCAAAAACCTTGCTCAGCTATTGACCACGCTCCACTGAGCAAACTACATAATTTAGAGGTCTGTAAGTAGGAGAGGTACAAACCGAACACATCCTCAAAACTAACAATCCACTCTGACTTGCCACAACAAAACTTGGTAGGCATCTCTATACATCAACACATTAAGAGCAGATGGTAATATATATGTTACGCACATAACTGTAATATAATATTTAAGACCCATTCATTACACGTTACAACAGTTAAGCCAGCCAGACATACGCCCTTTAACTCAATTATAGGATATAGGGTATGATGAAAAAACCACAAACAATTTTAAGCCACAAAATTAAATTCACACCGAGCACTTTTCTCCTTCTCTTTCTCTTCTTATTTTTTTCGTTTTTGAGCTGTGTTTGCTTTGGTGTTGAGATCGCTTTTTTTCTCGCACGCTGTATTTCGGCGAGCTGTCACAGCGAGGACCCCGTGGCTGGGTGCCAGAGTGCCAGGTTCTCGGTCTTTGGTCCCTGGCTGCACGATAATGGATATCATGTTGCCGCTGGGTTTACATTTTAGTTTTACACTTTTCGTTGTAATAAACACATGACAACATGCAAGGCTCCTAAAAAAGTACAAGAAAATAGCAAAAGTCTCTGGCAAATAGTTCCCAGAATCAGATTATCCCTAAAATTGAAAATTTGATGAAGGAAAGAGCTTTAACTTGAAGTAATTTAATTTTGAATAAACATAATTTTATTATATTATAATCATATTATATAATAAAATGTATTTAATAATCTAATCTTGCTCTCATTCTGTTTTTTTTTTCCAAATATTTAATCAACAAAATCTGTGGCAGCCTTTTTTAATTAAGTAATTTCCCACAGATAATTAAATTAATCCGCACGCAGCACTTTGCGGAATTGCGGCGAAAGCGTTTCTTGGAATTCACAGCAAACATATTTTTGCTTATAAGCAAAGTCCTTTCTTTTTTATACATTTATTTCGCTAGCTCCTGAAAGGGTACGAATTTTAGATGTCCTTTTGTGTTTTTGCGCTTGTCTTTGACTCCGTCTCCATCCCTTTCGCTGTGTTTGTGTTTGTGTTTGTGCATATGCGTGTCTATGTTAAATGTTCGCACTCCCAGAGGAAAAATAATTCGAATGCCGGCTGGCAACAGAAAATATTAATACTTTTTCATTTACTTTCGGCTTGAGGGGAAGAGAGGCCAAGGCGATCCGAAGGTTTTTAGCCAAAAACTTTGCCAAGTTGACCAAATATTTTGTTTGTGCTCAAAGTTTTGCGCATATTTTATGTGCAGCACTTGAGCAAGAGTTTTGCGACCTCTTTCAGATGCTGACTAATGGCTTTCGGTGGAGCTACATGAAGTCGACATGCCAATTGCTCTGGCCTTAAATAATCAAATTAAATGTCAAGTCAAACGCTTGCACAGCCCCCGAAAGTATGCCGCATTATTTTGGATTTGCGCTTATTTCTCCTCCACTTGCTATCAGTAGAAGTCCTGTGTGCCATTAACCTTACTCAAAGGAGCCTATCTGCGCGTAATTAGGTTGCCAAACGGAGGCAGCCAGCCGAGCGGCGAGGCAGCCAGAATCAGAGGCTGGAACGGAGCCACGACCTTAATATTAATATTATTATAAATAAATTTAAAACGTAAACTCGCTTAGACCTCAAATTTAACACAAACGCACACAAATCCTCCAAAAGCAGACAGATAAGTTCTGGGCGGCTGGATAACGGGGCGAAGGATGGGAGGAGAAGCGAGGGAGGCTGAGCGGTGCGATAGGTGGCTGGGCGATTTGCGGCAGGCGTGAACCACATCATAAACCGAAAGCTAAACCCTTCTTGGCTGAAAAATGACACTTCCACAAAAAGGCGACGACGAACGGAAGGCCTAAAACAACGAAAATTACAGGCACAGCCACTGGGCGCAACTGGCTGTGACGAAGGCGCTGCCAAGTGGTGCAGAGTGGTGCGAGACGGGCGCTCTGGCTTTGGTTTCTGGTCTGGATTTGATTTCCTGACTTGCCTCTGGGCCGGGCCCGACTGCTTTATCCACATCGAAGGCAACTCTGTAAATCGACACGGCCAATTTTATTATTGGAGCCCCAAGAATATTTCTTTTGCCTGTATAAATTGGCAGCAACCGCCAGCTGCCAGCCGCCATCCGCCCACGCACACACCCATTGGGTTACCCTTTCCCCCAGGCCAGTCTGAGCCACTTTGTTTGTACGGCCTGCGAGGAATCGAATTAGCATGCAAAATCTTTTGTTTGACTAACAATGTGTCAAAGTGTGTGACGAGCGCGCTTTAGTCTTTGTCGAGGTAAGCCCCACGCTCCGCAACCCAGACAGCCCCCTCAACCCCTCTGCTCTGCACCCTCCACCCAACACTTTGAAGCCTTCGGGCCATTAGGCTCGATAAAGTCACAGCCACTGCGCACGTCTCCCTAAGGCCACTGGCGGCTGACGAGCCACAGTGCTGGCCACCTAAATGGAAACCGCAAAAAGATTGCGCACACAAAGTAAAGTGAATTATTGCTGCAAACATTATCCAAGTCGAGGGAGACAAACGCTTAATTAAGCATTAACCCAGCTGCCGTTGCACAACAGTAATTCCTCTAATTGGTCACATGGCCACAATGTCCATTTAAAACAATCAAAGTGGGGCAACCTTTCACGACGTGGCTCTATGGCCAGATCCGCTGAGTGTGCTTCATAATTTTATTTTATCTTTTTACTTTGGCATATGCCAAGCCATAAAAAAGTTCAGCTCGACTCTAGGGCAAGAGATTCCAAATTATTTTTTATGTTAATTTTATGCCTCATTTCTCATTTGCTGCGGAAATTGTTGAAAATGCGTGAAATCATAATCGATATGTTTAACACTTCAGCATTTATTGGCCAAGTTCGCAAATATTCTCGTCTAATGAGCTCGCTTTGCAAGTGGTAATAGAAAACATTGGCATTCATATACGTCCTGAATGGCATTGTCAATTACCTGCTTACGTACTGTAGCCCAAGAAGCATTTAAAGCGTATTCCACAGCACTTTGAAACCAAGCTGAAGCCAAGTTGAAGCACAGTCCACTAGTGGCAAGAATTCGAGTTGAGCTTTATAGCATCAATTGAAGCTGCAATGAGGCAAGAAACATTTCAATCAATAGGATTTACGTTTATTAACTTTGTGGCAAATACTTTTTTTTCCTTTAATACTAATGACATCTATGCAAAGTCTTATCAAATTTTTATAATAAATAAGCTCGAAAGATGCTTTGACGAAGTTTCTTTTAATTTTTTATTTTTTTTTTATATTTATTTATACACAAACTTTGCCAAAGTATTTTTTTTTTTATATTTTTATGAGTTGGAAATTTTAACAAAGAACTTCGATTTTTTGAATATTTTAACTAAGTTGTTTCATAATAAGGTTGCCTCTGGAGACAGCATATGAGGTAATCGCCTTGTGAGGAAGATGTTTATCTTACAAGAATTAAATATGTATGTATATGAGAAAGTTCTCTCACAGGAGACTGTATGCGCTCAGTGGGATAAGTGAAGTTCTCTTTAGGGAGAGTATATGAGGTATATGAGAATATGTATATTCATATGTTTATATGTATATTTGCTGTATATGAGTACATCAACTATAAGAGAAAATTCGTCATGCGTTCTTTGATATTGGATATTAATGATGCTTATGTATATTATATGCTCAATATGAGAAAACTTCATTAGATCTCATATCGATCGATATATGAAATCGAGCAAAATCTGGTATGCAGAGAGCATATAGGGCATTCCACAGTTGACTTTTGAGCATATACGTAGGTGCACTCTTAATTCCACACCAATACAGAAACTCTACTGAGAAATGCTGATCACATATTAATCTTCTGATATAAATAATCCTCTTTTCCTAATACATTGCATAATATATAAAATTATGTCAATACAATGATTATTTATGGCTCACATTCGATATTGACTTTACATATCCACAGTTATATTACGCATTTATGTTTAACAATATAAATATTGATGGCTAAATAATAGCTTTTTATTATTTACTGTTGAAGTCAAAAGATTTTCCCTAATCTGCGAAGGGCATAAAAAGAGTGTTTTCACTCCTAAAGCTAGACATCTAATATTTAATGGCAACACCCCTAATTCTTCACATTCAAATGCAGTGAATGCGAAGGACAAATGTATCTGGAGGCTAAACAGAAATCGTAATACAAAAATGATAAATGATATTAATAAATTCCAGAGTATATATATTATATATTAAATTTGCTTCTCTTTTTTCCCCATGCAATAAAACAGTACATTTATCAACATGATTTAGGAATTTCTTTTCTCGCATTAGAATTTTAATGTTCGTATATCTCAGGCCGACTCTTTCGCAGCTAATTGGCTGCTCTAATCAATTGCCTGGCATAGTTTGCATTAGGGAATAAAAAATTTGCTCTGCATATTGTTTGTCATCAATTTTAGCTGAGCTGAACTGAGCTGAGCTACTTAATTAATGTTCGTTTGCTTTGATGATGTCGATGCGGCTGTTAACTACATTGTGTTGACCTTTCTGGCAAAATGCGAATGCGAGTGCAGCTCGCTCCACTGTGGGGGCAACTTGTAAGTAGTCCAAAGCAACGGCTTGTGCTAAATTAGCAAATGACATAGTCAACATGGCCAACATAGCGGCAGGCGCCAAGCCCATTCCTCATGTCCCCTCAGCCCCTCCAGCCTGACAATCCACAAAACAACGTGCAATGCCGACACCATTTACAGCTGCCCCTCGGCTGCCTGCGCCATGCGACGCCACGCCATGCCACAGTCAGCCCCCCCCTGAGCTGACACAGAACATAATGCCGACGGGCAATGCTCTTTTAAGCACGCAGCTATGAATGGAGCAGGCGCCAGGAAGGTGGGCATGGGTAGTGGGTAGTGGGTAGTGGGTGCTCTTAGCGCTGCTGTCTAGCGAAAGTGCCTCAAATGCGCGTAACAATAATGATCATACATACACACAAACACAGTTATAAACCCTATAAAAAATACACAGTTCCCATTGGCAGCTGCTGCCGCGGCACTCATCAAAATGTGACAAAAACGCAAACAAACAAAGAGATAAACAAAGAGACTCTGGCAGGGACGTTGGCAGCTTTCACGCAGCTTTCATTAGTCGCAATTTACCTACGAGACCCTCCCCCAGCCCCCAGCCCGCCCTCTCTATCCCATGCCACTCGCTTGCTAGAAGAGCCCATAAACGTACCGCTGATAACTTCTTTAAGTCTTGGGTCCAACTGGGCACAGAGACAGCCGGCTCTCTGTTTCCGCCCCGCTCCAAATAAAAAAATATGCTAAGGCAGCACGAAAAATATTTTAAATTGAAATTCTGTTTATCGCGCTGACGAAATCGTCCAAACAGACCAAAAGCCCGCAGTCCCCAAGCCCCAAGACCCCAACAACCCCCCAAAACCCCTCCAAACCCTCAGCACACATTGCGGCCTGGCATGGCATGGCATGGCATGGCATGGCCTGTCCTGACTTGACTTGGCCTGGTTGGCCCGGCTTTACTTAGCTTTTTGGGGGTAATTCAATAAAGTGGAAAATGACGCTCATCGTCAACGTAATTTGCTTTCGTGGTTTTGCACAAATCCGCCAAGGAGACCAAACCGACTGACTACAGATGTGAGGACTCAGCACTGCTAACGGGGCACTTGAATGCCGTTAATCGGTTCTTCATATCACATCAAACGGGGACCGAATTGCTGAAACTCGGCCTCATCATCAGCGACAACATAATCTGCAATAACCCACAGCCACAGCTACAGCCACAGCCACAGCCGAAGCCAACGCCAAACAGCTAGAGATGGCAGAGTTAGCTGAGCCCAATGCCAGACTGTGAGACTCACACGGGCAAATATTTGATCATTCAGGAAATATGTTGACGAATATTAAAGAAGCCTAAGAGGATACAAAATTTAACTGCTGATATATCAAAATTTCAAGGACATCTTGAAGCGACTGCTTCTAATGCCTTTTGTAAACGGATGTTTGACTTGGGAAACCGATTAATACGGTTACTACTACTCCTTAAATTAAACGCTATTTAAAAGAAGTAAAACATGAAAAATATTAAAATTGTATATAAAACCTATATTACGTTCAAAATTCTAAAAATATTGATTATATTCTTATTTTAAATGAAATAAGAAAA